AAAAGAAATTCAGTTGAGTCAGTCAAATTTTATTTCATTCAACATAATGGTTTTCTCAGTGCATATTTCGATTTGTCCCACTTTCAATATGCGCTTATTACAGAACGCAGACTTTAATTAAACTTATATATTCGGGAGTTTAATATACCGTAATCTGTAGTAATACTGTAATCTTTTTATTTATTTATTATTTTTGACTAATCATGTTTTATCATTTTTTAATATTTTGATTTAATTAATTCCAAAGAAATGAATACAATATTCAATTTGTTCACCATTTTGCATCCAAAGCCAACTTCACTTTTATTTCATATGCAGTTCTTTTTCTGATTTTCAAAATTTGACTTCGCTGTATTGCAAAATTTGATTCGTCTCACTTTCAATAATCATTTATTTCAAAACATAAAATTAATCAAAATTATATATTCAAAAGTTCAATTTATACTGCAATCTACAATACCATAATCTTTTTATTAATTTGTTATTTTTAATTAATCAAATTTTATTTATATTTTTCTTTTTTAATTTAATTAATTCAAAAAAATTAATCTACTCAAATATTTAATTTATTCATTATTTGCATGAATCTAAAGCTAACTTTACTTTCATTTTATATGCATTTTTCTTTTTTATTTTTTTTTTACTTTCGAGATTTGACCTCGCTGTATTGTAAAATTTGATTAATCCCACTTTCAATAAACACCCATTTCAAGACGTAGGATAATCAAAATTAAATATTTGGAAATTTAATTTATACTGTAATCTGCAATAATACTGTTTGAACACTTAATGGGGGCGAGCGCGTCATTCGCGTTTAAGGGCAAACAAATGGACATATTCTATATATCCGTAAATATAATATTACTTTTGTTCTACTTCTACACTCCGAAATCACATTGGTTGTTTTCACTCCAAGATATTGATCTAGACTAGAGAGAAGATATGTCGACTTCTATTTGCGCGTCGGCAGCGCCGACATTTCCTCAGGAATTTTACCCCGTTTTAGTAGCCTAATTGTAGCCCATTGTGACCGCGTTCCATTCTTCGTTGTCGCACTCTCAACCAGTCGGAATTTACTTTCCGACGGTAGCAAGAAATGCGTTTTCTATTAGTAATTCGCTTAAAGTCTCTGCAAAGAGAATTACGTTACCGTATTTCGCAATTATTTAACGAGTTCTAGTTATCTCTAATATCAAGATACCACTCTCGGTGTAGATAACACGAAGTCGGAGAAAGGTACTTCTAAAATGCATAGAATATTCGAAGTATTTTATGAGAACGTCAAACTTCGTGAAAGTATCCTTTGACAAATTCAGTCGATCCTTTCCTATCGAAACTTCAGACTTGTCGGGCTTTAAAGATACAGACAAGTGACAATATTTCACTCTACGGTTAATTAGTTTTAAGTAACGTTTTAATTTATTCTAATTTAAAATTTCATTAAAATGTCCTATAGTGAATACTATAAAGTTGTAAAAATTAAAAAAATTTAATCAATAAATTGCAGGCTGCAGAAGTTTGACGGAAGTTGTTAAAAAAGCATTAGAAACAAAGAAAAAAGGATTTAAAAAATTACCGATGTTTGAAGTAGTTGAAATAATAACGATTTATAAAGTTAATTTTTCATTTTCTAAACTGTACTTGACATGAAAAATTATACATTTAACGAAAATTGAAGGCTTCCCTATGTAACTTCTAAATATATTAATATTTTTTATATGTTTAGAATATATATTGATTATGTTATACGTATTGTACAAATTTTCAACTTTAACACTTTTTTGAATTCTGTCTGTTCGAAATCTTTAAAAACAATTATTGCAATTATTAAATTAAACTAAAAAAAATTAGGTAAAAGTTCCAATCAGGAGACCCCCGCCAATGACCTTGACCTTGACATATATTGTCAAGGTTATGACCCTGAGTAACCTCCAACAGGTTTTAGCAGATCCGTCACTTGTCCTTCGTTAAAAAGTTATTAACAGTTAAAGTTAGTAATTCTTTAACTGCTTTACATATGTAGCTTAGATAACTTTGACCTTCGACTCTCACCTTCCTTCCCCCCTGCAAAGGGGCGCCCGACTCTCACCTTCGACTTTCATCCCCCCTCACCCCCTGCAAAGGGGTGCTCGACTCTCACCTTCGACTCTCA